ATACTTTTATGAAGTTGTTACAACAAGCAAACGGAAAGGACATTCTTGGGGGGGAGGGGAGAGAGGGAGGAGGGAGGGAGGTGTCGGTGATGGGCCATAATAATCATATACATTGTATATTGACAAAATAAAAATTTAACGAAAAAAAATTAAAAAAAATAAAAAAAAAATNCCATAATAATCATATACAGTGTATATTTAAAAAAAAAAAAAAAAAAAAAAAAAAAAAAGAAGCTGTGGATTAAAGAAAATACTAATTATACCAATAAATAACAAGAAAATTTAAAAAAAAAATAAATAAATAAATACCTAATGGGAAGAAGGGACTAATGTGAAGGTGGAAGACTCCCTGCAAGGGAAAGAAGATGATTTTTAAGACATGCCTTATTGTTTCCAGAGTTTTGCTAAAAACCAACTTTGTTTACCCTAGCCTACCAATAAAGAAATGTGAAAGTGTATGCACACTATATAGACATGTAACTTTACAATAGGCACTCATTTGCATGATTAATAAAGCTTTTCACATCAACTCAATACTAGAGGTGGCTCATTCCCACATAAACTGAGCCATATAATTAGGTTTCTTGGTTGCAAATGACAGAAACAGACTCTGGTTATTTTAAGTACAAAAGGAAATGATTTTAATGGTAGTTTGCAGAATCAACAGGAAGGCTGGGAAACCAGGCTCAGATAGGAATCAAGCAAGGAGAGGCAAACCAAGGCCCTGCCCCAGCAAAAGTCTGCTTATAAGACTGTCACTGGCATCCTTGCACCAGATGGTCACTATCACACCACCAGACCTGCGCATAAGAGGCCCTCCGACCAATCCTGTAACTTCGTTTCATGCTCTCAAAATTTAAAGTCCTGAGTGCAAGCATCAGACTATCTCTGAGATTTTGGTCCGTTTCTGAATGACGAGGCAGGCAATTCCTCACCTGCCATTCTACTTCCATAGAGACGTATCAACTGCTCTCCATCCTGTTTAGTGTGAAGCAAAATAGGAAGGGTGTTCTGACACTGACACCAAAACAACAAATGTCCCTCAAGCATCTCGTTGAAAGTACACGGCTTTAAAAAACCTTTATTCTCCTCACCTCTTGAAGCTAACCTGGTGGACTTCTTGGTCTTCCTGGCCCTACTTGGCCTGCCTAGCATTGCCACCCTACCAATGGCATCCTTAGTGTGGAAGTTCTGTCAACTCCACAGAAAAGCCAGCAGGCTCTCTTCAAAGTAAAGAAGACAGCTTTTCAGAATCAGAGGGAAGTGCTTAGAGCGTCAACGCTTGACAACTTGTTTTTCTCAAGTGAGTTAGGCAGAATCCACTAATATTTGGGAAAATAATTTCTAAAATATTATAGTTGTATTATAGTTGTAGCTTTGGGAAAATTCAGCCTATTTTAGACATACGATTCAGAAAATGATTTTTAGGGGAAAAAATAGCTTAAAGTCTTCCCATTGTTTCATTATCCCTCTCCCATACCTCTTCACGCACTTTTCGTCTGGCATTTTCTGCTGTAGCTAGATGCATTGCTTCACCAACTCAACCTCCCAAGTTTAATTTGTTTGGTTGTAACCAATTCTTTCACACTGGTTCTCCTTAATCAGATCATCCTCTACTGCTATTTTTGACCATTAAATTTTTTTCAGCTCCACTAGTCATTTTATAGAAATAATTATGAAATTAAGGAAATGATTATGACATCTGAGTGCTTACTGTGCACCAAGCACTATTCTAAGAGCTTTACACATTCCTCATTTAATCCTCAAAACATCATTGTCATTTTATAGATGGAGAAACTGAGGTCACAAAGCTTGAGATCATAGTGTAGGAGCTTGAATTAAACGGCAAAAATACAAAATTTGCTGGCAATAAATCTTTATTATGATTTATTATGATTTTCATGTTTCCTAGATAAAGTAGTCTGTAAAAGGATAAAAAAATTACAAAAGGCAAGCTTTCTTTTAGTGACTGAGTTGAATCAATATAAAACTGAATTACCTGCTCATTATTTAATGCCTTCTAAAATGACACAAAATATATTCAATATGTAATACAAACCTCAATCCAAATCTCCTGATATACAATTATTTACACACTCTGAATGCAGAGGGGAAAGTTTAGCTAAACAGAGAAATAAGAAAACAATAACGTTCTTGAATAGTTTTATCCTAAGTAATCTATGCTTTGGAATAGAAATTTTCATTTAATATGTTAACTATTGCAATTTTTAGTTACATTTTGTTGGTGTGAATTTAGCTCAACCTAAATTCCTGTGTGCTTGGAAGATACAACTTTTTAAAAACTATTATTAAGAATCTGTAACACAGTTTAATAATTATGATTGACATCCCAACCTACTTATCTAAAAGGTACAGAATTCAATGCTACCCTTTCTTTTTGTTTGTCAAATGAAACTTATTAACAATGTAAAGCATTCTCCTTTCTAAACTGTATAATTTTATTCAGTTATATATATAACAATGTCATACACTAGTAAGCAAAGCAAGCAACATTACTTTTTTTAAATAACATCTTTAATTAAAGTTTTTGCAAAGGTAAAATATTAAACTTAAAATAGATCTTAGTGCATCAAAATACTAAGTTCTCTAATTGTATTCCAAGACGGTCTTTAAAACATAATATCCCATATATCACAGAAGAGCAACCTTGATCTGCAATTGTACAGAATGAATTTTACAAACATAATAAATATATTTACGCCCTTACACATAACAGTATGTACAACAGCAGTTGACAATAGTAGCTCAGAACAGCAAAAAGGATTAGCCCCTCCCCAGAATTGTAGCCCCGATGCATACTGAACTGATTTAAGGAAATTTGACTGAAAGAGTATAGTTACTAATTCAATGTAGTTCTTCCCTTAAAAAAGGAGAAAAACATTTCTTTTGTTCTGTAAAATAAGCAAAAATATTAAGTTTGGTGTGCTCTTCCTTAAACCATAAAAAAATGACAAAAGATAGACTAAGGCAGGCTTAAAAAGGGAAAAATATAAACCAGAATAATTTCCATAGCGTAACGGAGAATTAAAATGTGAAACTATTTACCTTAAACCCACGAGGAACATATAAAGCAACCGTCTTTTAACCAACAACTTTCAAATCTGCTATAACTGATTCAGACAGGTAGATGGGATACAGACATATGAAATAAAATGAAAATGTACAAAGATGAATCAATAAAATATCACATTGCACAAAAGCTCAAAAAAGTTCAAGATGAAATAATCTGAAAATATAGGAATTTTCTCAAGTGGAAAAAAAAAATGCTACGTTATAAATGGAACTCCCAAGAGGAATGATATGTTTTCCTATACAAGGCATATTTACCCTCTGATAATTATGGTGACATTATTGCTATGAGATAATTAAAAATTACTCTTCGAGGGAAATAACTTCTAATTCCTCCATAAATGCCAGGACGAAAAGAAAACCAAATCCTTGATTTTCACTATAGCAAAAGAAAATCTTTATACAAAAGCTATTATAGTTTTATGTTCTTATTTTCTAAAACCAGAATCTATTATGCTCTTCAAGAACACATTTTAATCACTAAACACACTGCTCAAATCTTGATATAATCCTAGAACAGAGTGGCTTTGATTTTAAAGAGGCAACAGTATAAATGTGAAATTACGATGGCATTTAATTAACAGAAAGAAATGCAAACACTTAAAAATATATAAAAGCCCAATATAAAGATTCCCCTCATAACAGACAATTTACTCTAAAAACTAATTGCACAATAAAGAGTTGTTTTAGCCATATGTGGCACACCACAAAAATTAAATGTGCTCTCAGGTATTTCAATTGGTCTGATTATCCAAATGACCACCAAGCAAGAGTTCGTATACTGAAAGGCACACATTTCCACACTTTATCTAGTAATTTTGTGTAAGTTTTCCTTAGCACTGTTAATTTTTTTAAGTAAAAGGTGCCATCACCATCTGTGCAAATCTAAACAAATCCTCTTCTAAAACCATTACTTACTTTCATAATACCAAGTCTGAACTATTTTCCCCCTTTCGATAAACATACTACTTTCATTTTAAAATTATGAAAGTGAAAATCCCTTGCCTTTTCAGAGGAATGACATTTTAATGAAACCTAGTATGAAATGATTTCTTAAATACAATGTTAAAAGCATGATTAAGAATTCAAGTACAATAAAAAATAAGCAAGTGACATTCTTATAGCAAAAGCCACTATAAAACTAAAACATGCAATCTGATTAAAAGGAACACAATGCAATAATATATAAGAGCACAATTTGGTATGCAATTTTGTCTGGGCCAGCTTTGAGAATTTTTACAGGTAAAAGAAAAGCATTTGCCATGTATGCCATATGCAATATACAGGTGCAAATACAAATGGTTATTTCCTGCTTCAAAATAACCCTAGAGAGTCACTCTGAAAGCAGTAATTGTTCATGTTTGAAAATAAAGTTATAAAAACAGGCCAGTATACACTACTACTATGAATATGAACATTCGCCTACATAGATGGCCCAAGATGGGAGCTGAATATCATACAGTAATCCAAGTTTCAGTAGCATAGGAACTACTAGATAGCCAAAGGGTTTCACTTAAGCAACACTGCAGCACTGCTAAACTTTTATAGGTAGTAGTTCAGGTCGTTGACTTCTTCATTGAGTAAATATAAACCTACTAGCAACTATAACAAAGGACAACTGAACAATAGGACATCTGTGATTTTACTCCCTCCCTTCTCTTCTCCCAGTCTTATTAATAATAGTAATAATAACAACTATGTGTGCTTTGAGAGTAGTGGGGTAAACAAATAAGCTTCCCCTCAAAAAAATTAATATAGTCAAAATAAAAACTGTATTACCAGTAATGGCATCTAAATAAAACTTAACTACTAGCATGCTGGATACCACCATTTACACCAAAGTTCAGAACATAAGTGAAAGAGACCAAATTGGTAAGTGGGGTGGGAAATAAGCAAAAAAAAAGATAAGCCTTTTTGAGAAGTTCAAAGATTTGTTAAAAAAGAAAGAAAGAAAAAAACACTATAATAGCTCACAGCTTACTAATTTGTAATATACTTTAAAGTATTTATGTGTTACTTCTGGAAACACACAAAGGCAAATAAAAGGAAGACAAAAATTGAAGACTAAAAAAAAATCAATATACAAGTAACTTAAACACATGTGAATTTTGTCAAGACAAAAACCATGAAAAGTCAAATCAGTTATCAGAACACAAAGGTGAAGACAAGGGTTCCTGCAGTTCTCCCAGGCAGCTAATTCACACATAGCAGTGCTATATTATTGTTCTTTAGAGCCCCTTACAGAATACAGAGCTATGCATTGTTAATATACATATTAAATTTATGTTATCTTTAATATATAAGTCAAATTTCTATGCTTTCTTCCCAATGTGCAAACTGGAGCCCATGTCCACATTACCAATGCCTGGAAGGGCCACCAAATCAAGGAGAGGTAAATATGTACTTAGTGGCCCACCCCTCTCTACCCCTCAATTTCCCCCTCAGATTACAAAATTGCTTTTAAAAACTTTGTTCAATAGGTTTTTTAAATTCTTTACTAGTAAACACAAGAAACCTTTATAATTACTAAATTGTTTAATAAAAATCCAAGTCCTCACCACCTGCCCTAAGCTTCAATAAACGCACAGAATATTATCTGAATGTTTAGCTTTAACACATATATAAGCACACATTTGAGCCCAACAGGCAAAATCTACATAAACTCATATATTCATCTGTATACAATTTATGCTAGATGGTACCTTTGTGAAATAAAATCATACTACTGAAAAGCCAATTTGGGGTTTCTTTTTAAGATGTGGGACTAAAAGAAACAAATATAGTTTTTCTGTAAGGAAATTAAAATTGCCATTTTAATTCCACTCAACTCAGACAAGACCCAAGTATTTAAATTACATTTAGTAAATATGAAAATCTATCAAATTATATCTCCAAACTGGTCACTGATTACTTCCTTTACATCTTATAAATAGATGTTTCATAAAGCGGGGAAGGAAGAGGTATATATTACTGAGGGAAAACAGCAAGTAAAAATATTTAAGACCTATTAGGAGAGTTTTAAATTTTCTTATACAAGTGAATTAAAATTCAACACCATAATTCTTACCCTTTTGTAAAAAGCTCACACGCAACTTTTACCAAATATAACCACATACAATAAAGCAGTTTCAGTTTAATCTATCAAAAGGGAAGTTTCTTCATTTCATTCCAACAAGTATCTTCCGATTGAACCCAAGTTGGAGTAAGGAATATAGACAAAGCTTTACATGCTGATTACTGGTGGCAGGTACCTGTATTTAAAGTTGACAATTATGGTTTTCCCTACACAAACCCCAACCCTCCCACCCGTACAACCCCAGGTGCTACAGTTCCATGGCTTGCCAGTTAGAAGTAGTGTCTATGTTGTCAAGGTCTATCTTTGTTCCAGTAGCTTTGCTTCTACTGCACTTTTCTGACATGCAGAAGTGAAGTTTTGGTTGGTATATGTCCCAAGTTTCAAACTGTCCACTTTAAATGTTATTAAAGTTTCTTTTATTTATAAAAGAGAAGAACTCTTCACCATTCTGCATCTCCAATGGCTTTGGAAAATATATAATCTCTTCCATTAAGATTCATTATGCCATCCTTGAGATGAAATTTCCATTTGTTTTTACTTCTGTGTATCTAAATAAAAACAAAATGAAAATATGATACAATCAGAAAACAGAGAAAAATTAACAACCCATATACAAAACTTTGCCTCACACAACACTGTAAACTGGTTCCTTAATAAAGTTTAATTTAATAAAAAATTCACTCACTAGGTGGGTGCTTTAAAAGTTATCTGTAAGTAATGCAATTATGGATTTCTTCTACTAAAACAAAACTCCTCATAGTGTTTTCAAGACCTAACATGGAACTTTATGGACAGCAGTATTTAAAAAATATATCTGAGGGAATGCTGATCATCCAGTCATATATAGCAGATTCCAAAAACTATGTACATCCACAATTAAGACAAAAGGGGAAGGACAGACTCTGGGCACTCCTATCCTTGCCTTCACTCATAGTTTTTAGTTGTTTGCAATTCCATAGATTTGAGGTTAAGAGGAGTTGGACGACTTAATTAACCAAAGTGACCTTTCTTCCCTTTCCCTGAGTAAGCGCCACTCATTATTCGATGTTCAGTTCAAGCTCCAAATATTCTCCAAAGAAGGTCCCATGGTTCTCCCTATTCTATGATCCAAAGGTACCTCAAAAATCAACTAGGTTAGGCTTCCAAATGAGAATATTATGTCTTAGAGAAGAGGTTCAATGACTTGACCAAGGGTATTCTGCTATTAAGTGACAAAGATGATTTTTAAGTTCTGTTCCAACACTCTTTTTACTAAATCAGTCTGTTTCATATAATAATGCAGAAATGCTCACCAGGTACAGATATTTTCTGAGATCCCTTCCTAAAATTCCATGGTCTAATCTTCCAGTGCAAACATTCTATATGTCTTATTCCTAGCAAATGGTTATTCAGTGTCTGCTTCAATATGATAAAGTAAGGGCAAAGAATTTCAAATTAAATTATTCCTCTCTGGGACAACTCTCTTTTAAGCCTTTCATACTTTACACCTTATTGAAATCTGTTTCCTCTAACTTTCGCTTATTGATCCTAGCTCTGCCTTTTGAAATCAAAAAAACCACCTTCATGTTTTTGAAAACCACTCTAATGCTCTTCCTCTAGACTCAAACTTTTCTTACTTTTTAAAATCATACAGACCATAATAAAGCTAAAATAGCAGGCAGGGCAGAGACTCTTGAATTTAGAGGTCTTATAGCTCTGGTCTAAATACACTATGTAGATGTTAAAATCTAACATCTTAAGATGGATGACTTGAATGTCTGACAGACATACCAGACTTCACATGTCCAAAACTGAACTGATCTCTCCCAAACCTATTCCATATGTAGCCTTTCCAATGTGAGTTGATGGCACTGCCATCCTTCTTTCCAGTTTCTCACCAAAATCTTGGAGTCATACTTGATCCCTCTTTTTCTTCTCTACCACACATCCAAGACTGTCAGGAAACCCTGTGGACTCTTCATTCAAAACAAACCCAAGATCCAACTACTTCTCACCAACATTAATACTGTCACCATAGTCTGAGTCACCATTATCTCACTTGTATTATTACAACATCCCCTAAATAGTCTCCTTGTTTCAACACTTGCTTCCTCCCCATACTCTGCTCTCAACAAAAAAGACAAATGCTTTTAAAATTAAAATTAGATCACATCATCTGTCCATTTGAAACCTTCCAACAGCTTTCCATTCACTCAGAATAAGAACCCATATCCTTACAAAGACCCATACCACCTGCCCTTATTCCACTGACTTAATCTACTATTGTACACTCCTCCTCCCTCACTCCAGTTCAACCACACTGGCCTACTTGCTGTTCCTCACACACAACAGGGAGGCTCTACCACCAGATAATGGCAGTGATTAACTCTCTTCACGTATTTGCTTAAATGTCATCTTCTCAAAAGACCTACTATGACTACTCCATTTAAAACTGAAACCTGTACCCTTTCCCTGCTCTGTATTCCATATTAACTTATTATGTTTATATCATATTAACTAATTATGTTTCAGCATCTGTCTCCCCTCACTACAGTAAGCTTCCCAATGGCAGCGACTGTTTTGTTTTGCTCACCACTACATCTCAAGCTCCTAGAATAGTGCGCTGGGACATCATAGATACTCAATAAGGATTTGTGGAATGAAAAGACCTCTGTCTCCCCTTTTCTTTGATTCCCTATAGAGAAAGTATTAATTATCCTAAAAATGTGTACACAAATTGGTTTCCAGCATAAATTTAGTGACTGCAACCTGAAAGACGCTAGGATTATATAAAGAAAAACAAGAAAAGTGATGTGTAGCCAGGAAATAGGAACTCCACAGACAAGAAACAGCATTCTGCTGTAAGGCAATTTGAAAAAAGCAAATGTAGATGTTTCATGGGTCAGATGGTCCATACATTCAGCACTATAGTCATATTGGGTAATAAATGGTAAATATTTTAATTTGAATAAAAGCAGAAAGTACAACTTGAAAAGCAATTCATATACTGCCCTAAGCCCTTCATAAAGGAATGTCCTGAATGCCAGGTGAAAAGCCTCTAAAAATTTCCTAATGAAAAATGTATTAAAATAAAATTACCTATAAACAAGGCTGAAGCCTGTACACCCAAGGCAATTTTCACTAAATGCTCTATCAGTCCCTCTCTAACCACACTTCAGCAAGCACTTGGATACATTATAAGTATTTGTCTACAATTCTGATTTGATTGGCAATATGAACTTTATTATTCCTTCTATGATCTTTTCTAAAATTGAATCATTGTTAAAATTCTAAAGTTTAGGCTTCAAAACTAAACCCCTAAAATTCAAGTTGGCTCAAACCATATCTAACCCAATTGTAACCAGTCATAAAACACTACCAGTCTTTACTGTTGGCTAAAACACCAAGCCCCCTCCCCTAAAATCTTTAGAACTCATTTGAATCCTAAAATTAGATTTCTGCAAACTTTGAAATTGTTTATCATTCAACATACTATTTAAAGCTATTTTCAATTTATTAGTTTAAAACATTAATGTCTCCGGGAGCAAAAACAAACCAATTTAACATATAAAATATTACATGTGCAATTTGTGCCAAAGGAGAATACAACCACTCTCTTATACTAGAAAAATACTTAGAAGCATATTCTTTGGTCAGGTTAAGGTAAAGGTCCTCTCTTATCTGACAAATCTGACATCTTACTATGACACTGTGTTCTGAATAATTTGGTTGCAAGAGGTTCCCTTAAGACCTCCTGACAATAAAGATTTATTAGTATTTGCTGTTTTAACCTCATACTCTTTGCTCTACATGTATCTAACAGGAAATTACATGTGTTATATAACGTGTACAGGGTATTAACAACACTCACCTGGAAGTCATAATGCACAAAAGTAAATGCTGTGAAACTCTCAATCAATGACCTCACTGACTTTATTCTGTAACTTCACCCATACATAAGTGGTCCAACTTTACCTTTTTACTAGTAAATGTTAAGATCCATTGTCCTAGCATTCTCCACATAGATTTGTTTGCAATAAGCACAGCTACCTACCACACTCTTTTATATAAAAACAATACAAATTTAAGATTTTCTTCTTCTGTAAAGTAAACTTCAGGCAGGGCACAAATTTTGTATGTTCATGACTACAGCTCCACTGCCTAAAATAGCACCTGGTACATTTAGGCACTCAATAAGTATTTGTTGGATAAATGAATTGAATAAATGGTTTCAAACAAAATCCAATTGCATCTGTTAGTTTTCAGCATTTGGTAAAGTTAAATTATAAATGCAATGTAATACGTGGATATATTATATATTTAAGGATTGTACCCCCAAACCAAATTTTATTCCAATTTCAATATCTTGATAACACAAATCTCAACAATAACACAAACAACTAAACAATTAATATTTGGAAAGAAGAACCCGGTTTAAGAATTAAGACCACAAGGAGTCAATTGCTAATTCTCACAGAAACTGGTTTAAAAATCCCTCAACATTACCAAAGCACAGCAAAGCTAAATAATCTTTAAAATGATTTTCAGTAAAAACTTATCTAGTTGTTAGTTTTCAGTCCTGTTTATTGCCCTAGTCTTCTCCTCAGTAATAAAAAAAAAAAAAAGTTATAAAAATTCTATTAGACCCTTCTAATTTTGAGGCAGTTGAGGCTAACTGGAAAAAAAAAAAACAGGACTATCCCACTGAGTTAGCCATTTGTTACTAAAGGACAACCCTAAAGTGGCTTTGTTTACATGTAGAGAGAAAGTCTAAAAAGCAAAAAAGATCATATGTCTCTCCATTTCATTAATAATTTATTTTTCAAATGTAAAGTTGATAAATTAATCTTTCATTCAACTAAAATTATCTATAAAACTATAACAATGTTTTCACATTGTTTATAGTGAATATAAGAGGCATTAATCAACTGCCCAGATGTTTCAAAAAGGCAGAAAGGACAGTTTACGGAAGAAATTATAAAGGAAATAATGTCAGTAATCTGAAGATAAAATCCTTACCTTATCATATTGGCATACAACAACATTTTCTGTGTCAAAGAGTTCTTGTCCTTCCTCATCACTCACATCATCTTCACTATTGAGGGGTTCCTACAAATAACAGTTTATTTATTTAGACCCCACGTATTACAACTAAGACTCCTACTATTCAATGAAGAGAAATACAATCACACTGATATTCTTTGAGAACCAAGTGCCAAATGGAACACATTCACTCACACACAAAATCAGCTGTCATTTAAAGAGTTTTGTCAATGTTACTGAAATCAGAGAAATACAATCACATTGATGTTCTTTGAGAACCAAGTGCCAAATGGAACACATTCACTCACACACAAAATCAGCTGTCATTTAAAGAGTTTGTCAATGTTACTGAAATTTCAGCAAGAAATTTAAATATAATTAAAATAATAAGCTATATAATTTGTAACTCTGAAAAGATTTTCAACTTTGTTTCCTTTACTCTTTAAGCACAAGAAGATAATTCTCCACAGTAAGTGTTTTAAGATGCCTACAAGCGGACCTAAGAAAATATGAAGGTTTAATGAACTAATGGCACTATGTACCAAAAACAGTATAAAATGGTGAAAACTGGAGGAGGAAAAAAAGGGTAATGCAATAGGCTAGCACTCTATGTGTCTTTACATTAAGGACTGGGACTCTGAAGACAAATCAGCAGGTCTACCATTATTATGGCTATGAAAGAGGCATGAAATATAATCAAGATTCTGATTTTGTTTTTAAAAAAAGGCAGGGGGGTGAGAAATCTCAGTACCAAAAAGAATTAAGGGCCAAAATAAAACCTAACTAGAGCATAAAATGGCCAATTATGTTAATCTTCACCTCAACTGTAGTGGAAGATAAAAGATATAACTCAGATTTCTAATAAATGGAGAAAGAGAATGTAGGACAAAATAAAACTAGAAAGGAAAATAATGATGATATTAAGTCCAGGCCTATTCCTACTCACACACATCTATGTGTATATATACACATTTTTATTTTTAAAAAATTTATCATTAGGGGCCGGCCCGTGGCTCATTGGGGAGAGTGCGGTGCTGATAACACTAAGGCCCCGGGTTCGGATCCCACATAGGGATGGCCGGTTCGCTCACTGGCTGAGCGTGGGGCTCACAACACCAAGTCAAGGGTTAAGATCCCCTTACCGGTCATCTTTAAAAAAAAAAAAAAAAAAAAATTTATCATTATACAATAAAATTGGTTTTCATGGCCCTTTACCAATTCTCCCTTTCCCTCCTCTCTCACCCCTTTTCCCACCCCCAGCAACCTCAGTTAACTTCTCTTAAATTCAAGGAATTACTGTGATTGTTGTGTCTTTTCCCTCCCCCCATTTATTTGTTTATTTTTATTAGCTCCTACGTATAAGTGAGAACACACAATATTTCTCTTTCTGTGTCTGGCTTATTTTCACATAGTTTTCCTTATCCACTCGTACAGTGATTGGCATTTCAGCTGGTTCCAACTTTTGGCTATCGTAAATAGAGCTGCAATAAACATGAGAGTACATGATAATTTTCATTCCTTTGGGTATATACCCAGCAGTAGAATAGCTGGGTCATATGGCAGTTCTATCTGTAGTTGTTTGAGGAACAACCATACCATTTTCCATAATGGCTACACCATTTTACAGTCTCACCAACAGTGTAGAAGGGTTCCCCTTTCTCCACATCCTTGCCAGCATTTGTTATTCTCTGTCTTTTTGATATTAGCCAGCCTAGTTGGACTGAGATATCATCTCAATGTGGTTTTTTTTTTTCCTTTTTGTCTTTTTTACTGACCGGTAACGGGATCGCAACCCTCGGTGTTGCGCCCGCACCGCGCTCAGCCAGTGAGTGGGAACCGGTCTCCACATGGGATCCGAACCCTCGGCGGGAGCGCTGCCACACTCCCAAGCAGCGCACTCTCCAGTGCGCCACCGGGCCAGCCCTCAATGTGGTTTTGATTTGCATTTCCCAGATGCTGAGTGATGCTGAACATTTTTTCAATGTGTCTGTTGGCCATTCTTATATCTGCCTTTGAGAAATAACTATTCAGCTCCTTTGCCCATGTTTTAATCAGGTTACTTGTTTTTTTGCCGTTAGGCTGTCTGAGTTCCTTGTATATTCTGGATATTAATCCTTTGTTGGATGCATATTTTGCAAATATTTTCTCCCACTCTGTTGGATGTCTTTTCACTCTGTTGTTTCTTTTGCTGTGTAGAAGCTTTTTAGTTTGATATAATCCCATTTGTTTTTTTCTTTTGCTGCCTGTGCTTTTGAGGTCATATTCATAAAGTCTATGCCCAGTCCTACTTCCTGAACTGTCTCCCCTATGTATTCTTCTAGAAGTTTTATAGTTTCAGGATACTTAATTCTTTAATCCATTTTGATTGATTTTGGTATATGGCAAGAGGTACAGGTCTAATTTTATTCTTCTACATAGGGATGTCCAACTTTCCCAGAACCATTTATTGAAGAGGCAGTCTTTTCCCTAGGTGCCTTTGTCAATGACCAGATGGCTGTAGGTATATGAGCTGATTTCCAGGTTCTCTATTCTGTTCTACTGGTCCGTGTTTCTGTTTTTATGCCAGTACCATGTTGTTTTGGTTACTAAAGCTTTGTAGTATAGTTTGAAGTCAGACAGTGTTATGCCTATGGCTTTATTTTTGTTGCTCAAGATAACTTTGGCTATTCTGTTGTTCCAAATGAATGTTAGAATTGTTTTTTCCATTTCTGTGAAGGATGTCATTGGTATTTTGATAGGGATTGTGTTGAATCTGTAGATCACTTTGGGTAGTAGGGACATTTTCACAATATTAATCCTTCCAATCCAAGAGCATGGAATATCTTTCCATCTCTTCTTGTGTCCTCTTTAATTTCTCTCAGCACAGATTTGCAGCTCTCGTTGTAGAGATCTTTCACATCCTTGGTTAGCTTTATTTCTAGGTATTTTATTTTTTTGGTGTCTATTGTAAATGGGCTAGCTTTCCTGACTTCTTTTTCTGCTAGTCCACTATTGGAGTATAAAAATGCTTTTTGCATGTTGATTTTGTATCCAGCATCTTTGATGAATATCAACTCTTACCAGTTTTTTGCAGAGTTTTCAGGCTATTCTATATATAGGATTTTGTCATCTGCAAACAGGGATAATTTGACTTTGTCTTTTCCCATCTGGATGCCCGTTATTTCTTTCTCTTCCCTGATTGCTCTGGCTAGTACTTCTAATACTATGTTGAATAAGAGTGGCAAGAGTTGGCATAGTTGTCTTGTTCCTGTTCTTAAGGGAAAAGCTTTCAACTTTTCCCCATGATAGTGGCAGTGGGTTTGTCATACCTGGCTTTAATTGTGTCAAGATAATCTCCTTCTATACCTAATTTGTTGAGAGTTTTTATTGTGAAGGGATGTTGAATTTTGTCAAATGTTTTTTCAGCATCTACTGAGATGATCAAATGGTTTTTATCTTTGATTTTGTTGATGTGGTGCATCACATTTGTTGACTTGTATATGTGGAACCATCCTTGCATTCCTGAGATAAATCCCACTTGATCATGGTATATAAATTTTTATGGTTGTGTTGCTGTATTCTATTTGCTAATGTTTATTGAGGATTTTTGCATCTATACTCATTGAAGATAGCCTGTAGTTTTCTTTTTTTGTTGCATCTTTGTCTGATTTTGGAATCAGGGTGATGTTTGCCTCATTGAATGAGTTTGGGGAAACGGTCTCTGTTTCAATTTGTTGGAATAGATTGTAGAGAATTGATATTAATTCTTCTTTATAGATTTGGTAGAATTTGGCAGTGAAGACATCCAGTACTGGGCTTTTCTTTGTTGGGAGACTGCTGATTACAGCTTCAATCTCTTTGTTATTCATCTGTTCAGGTTTTCTGTGTCTTCTTGGTTCAGTCTTGTTAGTTTCTGTGTGTCCAGAAATTTGTCCATTTCCTCCAGGTTTTCAAATTTGTTGGCATATAGTTGTTTATAACAGTCTCCAATGATTCTTTGTATTTCCATGGTATTGGTTGTAATGTCTCCTTTTTTTTTCTAATTTTTGTTATTTGGGTCTTCTCTCTTTTTTTCTAGGTCTAGCTAATGGCTGGTCTATTTCATTTATCTTCTCAAACTTTTTGTTTCATTGATCTTTTAAAACTATTTTTGGAGTTTCTATTTCATTTAGTTCTGCTCTTATCTTATTTTCTTTCTGTCTACTAATTTTGGGGTTGGATTGTTGTTTTTCTAGTTCTTTGAGGTGAAGTGTTATTTGCCATCTTTCCATTCTTCTGAAGCATTTATTGGGATACACTTCCCTCTTAGTACTGCTTTTGCAGTATCCCACAGGTTTTAGTATGATGTGTCACTATTTTTGTTAATTTCAGTAAATTTTTTGATTTCCTGTTTAATTTCTTCTTGGACACGTGTCATTGTGTAGAATGCTGTTTAATTTCCATGTATTTGTATAGTTTCCAGAGTTTCATTTGTTATTGATTTCTAATTTTAATACATTGTGACCTGAAAAAATATTTGTTGAGACTTGATTTGTGACCTAACCTGTGGTCTATCCTGGAGGATGTTCCATGTGCTGATAAGAATGTATATTCTGTGCGTGTTGGATGAAATGTTCTGTAGATATCCGCCAAGTCCAACACGTCTAAAGTATTGTTTAGATCTGTTTCTCTGTTGATTTTTTCCTAGATGATTTGTCCAGTGTTGAGAGTGGGGTGTTCAGTTTCCCTACTATTACAGTATTTGGGTCTATCTCTTTCTTTAGGTCTAATAGTGTTTGCTGTATATATCTGGCTGCTCCAATGTTGAGTGCTTATATATTTATGATTGTTAGATGTTCTTGCTGCATAGATCCCTTTATCACTATAAAGTGGCCTTCTTTATCTTTTTTTATGGTTTTTGGTTTAAAGTCTATTTTATCTGATACAAGAATAGCTACTCCAGCTCGTTTCTGGTTTCTGTTTGCATGGTATATCTTTTTTCATCCTTTCACATCCTTATTAGTTTGTGTGTATCTTTACAGGTGAGGTGAATCTCTCAAAGCCAGCATATTGTTGCGTATATCTTTTTAATCCAATTAATTAGTCTG